ATACATTAACAACTGATAACACATAAATATCCAGTGCATTTAATACTATCAAAGTAATTAGGTGTTGGTTTGCCAGGAATAAAGGTGAGGTTTAAAAATCCAAGATCACATGATTACCACTGAGTAAGACATTCTTGCTCATCCTGAGCACAGGCTAAAAGCAATAGGTGACTGAGACAAGTCACCAGGCTGGAAGCCAAGCTTATTTCATGCACTCAATTTGCAATGAAAATTCTAATGAAGCCATCTCGTCGAGCTAAACCAGTGCTACTCTGGCCAGAGGTCTCCAGCTCACTCTGAGGCAGATCTGGAAGCATTAACTTGCTGAAGGGTCACGCAGTGAATGGAGCACATGCTGCTATAGAGAGTGCTGCAGGAAATGGCAAGACTGCCACGAAAATCTGGCAGTCCAGATGCAAGAAAAATTCCCTTGCCACCCTTGTAACTGCACTGAAGAAAGCGCTTACTAAACACATGTACCTGCTCCACTCAGGCAGAGTTCTTCTATGAGCCTGAAACACTGCATGCACCAAGCTTTTATTGGGTGTGAGAGAGCTGGTGTTAAATGGGGTCAGAACTACACTTGCTCAGGGGAGAAGAAAAGCTCACTTTGAAGCCAGGCTGGTTACCCTGTTTTTCTTCCTACACCACAGCTTTCAGATTGCAGCTAGAACTTGAAGGGAGTTGTTCCCACAAGCTCTCCAGCCCAATGTCTCCACCCGAGAGGCTTGAGTAAATAGCAGAAGCTCTGGATATGAATCAGATGGAAAAGATTCAGGCCTCTCTGCTAGGTCTGAGTTCAAAGGCATCCATGGCTGAACAACTAAATCGAGATCCCTATCTGCATGTGAGGGCAGAATGGAGCGTTCAGTAATAATGAACTGCTCACCCTTATACGCTCATTTCTAGATGCAGTGTAGCAGGTTGCAAGGGGCACCCAGTTGAAGAAGTCCATGTACCCACGGTAGCACAACCAAGAGAGGTGAGGAAGTCTGTTTTAGGAGACCTTCTTGCCTCTGTTTCCTTTCAGTTCTTCAGCTGCATCCAGCAGAAACCTTGGACCTGGCCTCTTGGTGCTCAGCCTCATTGCCAGAGTAAGACCACAGATGCCACAGAACACATCACAGAGCAGAGAGCTCACCCTACAGCCCTTCGGTCCATGGCAGACCTCCTCCTCCTCCTTGTATGTGCTAAGACTCAGAGCAGCCTGTCATCACGAAGGGTGTGCATGATCCATCCCCCGTATGCACATGTCACACCTGGGTTTTGTTCAGTGACACTGTACTCCAACACGCAGGTCACATCTTGACCTGAGTCAAGCAAATTCAAATACACCCATGCTGCAACCACATCTCCCTGCACTGCACCTCCAGGAAGCAAGTCCTGCCATGATGAGTTTACGTGTAAATGGGCAATGAGGGATGCACAACGGGAGGGATGAGTTCACAGGCAACAAAGCAGCTCCGTGTCAGCGCTTGCCTGAGAGCACTGCTGCCTCTGAAGACCTACTGTTAGTGACAAATCGGTTCAGCTGTGACACTTCTGCAGGTCCATGTCTGTGTTGCCTTGTATATGCAAGCACGGCCCTAACTCCTCACCAGCAAGGGTACCCCACTCCTTAGCTGATGCTGGAATACAGCCGGAGCCCACAGCTAGGGTGTGCCTGTACCTCCCTCTGTGAAGCTGCCTGGTTTATTATCTGGAGAACAGCACACCTGGGAAGATGAGCCAAATAAGTATTAGATATAATCAGATACTTTCTGTCTTCAGGTGCCACCCATGTGCACACCTTCCCTACAAGCTGTGGAGTGAACCTGCTAACGATTCTATTAATAACGAGCAGTCTAAGTAGGTGAACTGGATGAACTTGTGTGAAAGCAAAACTCCAGAGGTAGATCAGTTGCTCTGTTCAAAGCAAACAGATAACTATCCCAGGCTGCAGGCAACTCTCCCCCTTTCCCACCTCCTCCTTTGGGACATCTCCAGGCATGTCCAGGGTGGTGCAGCCTGGCAAACAGATATTTAATCAGTGATTTATACATTAAAAAAGAAATCACAAAGCCACCAATGACCCTGGGAATTGCTGGGTGCCAGAATGTCCTCTGAGGACTTCCCTGTGTATTCATCTTCAGGGTACGTGACACTGTTAATGCACAACAGTAGAAGCGTGTGTTCCTCAGGGGGCTCTGTGTCCCCTGCTCCTCATCACCTGCTATCTGAAGTCCTGATCTACCTGCAGGTTCCCAGCAGCTGACTGTGATATCACACGGAGGGGACTGGCTTCAACTGAGAGTACAGCTGCAGGGGTGGTGAGCAATGCCTGAGACACACAGAGCCTACCAGCAGGCACAGCTAGTCATGGACCACAGGAGAAGGATACTGCATCATGTGTGGAGTGTCCACTATTCCCCTTCACCTCTGATACAAAGCCTGAGTTTCGTGTCAACCCAGTGAAGAACAGGGACAGGCTCTGGAGTGCAGGTTGTCAGCTGGTGACTGCACCACTCCCCGGCAGCTCCAGTTGGGATCAAACCATGCACAATCCCATGCAAGCTGCAGTCAGAGTAATGGCAGATGAGAGGCTCTCAGACGTTTCTGTCCCTTGAAACGGATTAAAATCTGCTGCCTTGGGGGTTATGACTGTCAAGAGGCCACAGGCTCAGCATCAGTATGAGCCTGGCACTGCCAGAGGGAGATGGCTTCAGGATCACAAGGAAGAAGTCTCCTCAGCAAGATTTCAGGTGGCTTCAGCTACTGATAAGCTTCTGGGATGCATACACTTCACCTGCCTCTCCTGCCCTCCTCAGAGCCAAGGACAGGACTCAAAGGCACAGGCATGGGTGCCTGAAGAAAACGTGGTGTAACATCTCGTACCACAAGGAACGCTTACGATGAGGTACCTGATCTGAATTCACTTGCACAAAGACTTTGCAAACAGCCCAAAAAGCCTCTTATGCAGGAATATATTGAAGGGTTTGAAAACTAGTAGAAACAACAGGTTTTTTTTTTGTCCTCTGGTATCTAGAGGGCCTTTTTATGCAGCTTTTTGCTTGGCTGCACAAATCCAACACAAAATTAGAAGTTGTATAAGATCCTATAATTTTATTGAAAGGACCAGCTCATTGACAGGAACTGGTCAAACATCATCCTCTGCACATGTCACAACATGTTTCAGAGCCTGCTGACATATTTACTCCTCAGTCCCATTCCTCTTCCCTCTCAGCTAGGGCAGGTTAAGGTCTCCTTACAGTTCTTTTCTGAAGTCCTCTTGAAATGCAGCTGCTACACCAGGGTCTCTCACTGAGATTCTTATGTCAAGCATGTTAAAAAGGACAAATCTTATACATGGTGTATATCATTTAATAACAGCTCTATTAATGTCAGTGAGAGTAACCTCTTCAGAAACAGAAGAATATTTTTCTTTCCAAGCAGCAGAAGAAAATACTTGCTGCAATACTAGATGTTGAGGCCAGGGCATTGAAATGGAAAGGATAAATGATGCATCATCAGAGATACTGTTCTACTGAAAGGTGTTTCCAGTCTCCAAATGGAGCTTTGTTTCAAAATTGCACATTCACCTGGTAACAGATTATGTTGTTTAAAGACAAATAGTGCACCTTTTGCAAACTCTGAAGGGAAAGGAAGGCTGGACAGGCAGAGCACGACTGGGTCCTGCTCTGCCTCTGTGCCAGACACAGATCAAGTACCACACAGAGTATTTATATACTGTTGAATGCATTAGCAAAGGAAAGCAGGAGAAACCAGCACAAAGCCATGTAAAGGGCTCCCTTAATACTGCAGTAACACAGACTGTAATTTGATTTCTCTCTTGGTATGCAAACCTCCTCCTTCTTACTTTCCCAGTCTCCTGCCCTGACCTAACACCAGTTTTAGCTGGGGAGATGTCTATGTTACTGCAGTGAAGATGCTGAGCTCCTTGGTGCTTGCATACCCCTCTTACAGTACAATTGGCAACAACACCCACAGGGCTTTTTCCACCTATACCAAGCTGTTCAAAATAGAAGCCCTGCTCAATACAGGATTTAACATTCCCCTCCATATTAGGAAACGGTAGCTCCTGGCTCCAGTAGCAGTGTTTTCCCCATCTCACCATTACACCACGACTTTGGCCTCTCAAGCCAAAGCCCACATGGTGACACAGTGCTGTCCTGGGGCCCACTGATCACTCACACTATTACAAGAAGTGTCCAGGAAAAGTACTTTTTGTGTGTTTGTGGAAGGCACGCCTGATTCTGCCTTTGCATGAGGATCTGTATTCACTGATGGCATCTTTTATAAACACATCATGTATTCCACCTAAAGGTGCTGTGTGCTCTGAAAGAGCCAAATACATTAGCATTCCTCAACCATAACTTTTGAAGTCAGCATTTGACTATTTTTGCATTTCTTCCAGGTTGTAGTTAGACAACTCCTAATTCTATGGGGAAAGCAAAGACTATAAAATGCCAGAGCTCCACTCTGCTGAAATAACATTAGCGAAATATCAAGTCCTTTATGATGTCATGAGGGATTCCTTAATGTGACTATAGCCTCCTAATGACATCATAAAAAACAACTGCAACATCAGAAAACAGCCAAGGGTCATCAATCAGCCCATCCTCTCCCCTACTCACCAGGGGCAGCAGCCCAACTTGCTCCTATCTGCTTTTTACGAGCACTGCTGTCCGCTGAATAGCACACAGAGAAGAGACTAATAATCATACAAACATGAAGGAGAGCGGTCAATCATCACCTGAAATGTTCAGCACACCTGAGGGAAATCCGGGTGCTGTAGCCTGAAGAGTCTGCAAGCTTAGCATGTAGAAGAGACAACGTGACGCCCTGAGAGGTGACCTGGTGCTCTCTGGGCAGCAGGCAACACCAGTTAGCAACTCAAGCATTCTACAACGTGGAGAGAACGGGACTAAAAAATGAACCCTTTGCTTGCTCTCTTTGTGCTCTAGATGCAAACAAAGCTTCTTCCATATTGTCCGTATTCCCATCTGCATGTCCCATATTACACAGACCACGCTGAAAGAAGGCTTTGCATCCTCAAAGTGAAATGGGTGACAGTCCCAACGAGATGCAGGGACTACCAAATCCTCTGGCAAGAATGGAAACAGCCTCCTCCCCATGTCAAAGTGCAGTGCCTCACAGTTAAAGCCTCATTATGCTCTCTTAGGAATACTTTGAAGTTTTCCAGGCATGGGGATGTCTCAAGGAGTTTCCCAGACTCATAAGAAGAAAACCCCAAGTGACAGATACTGTGGTCTCTAGAGGTTTCACAATCACTCTTGGAAGGTGTTTAAAATGGAGCTTCTGCCAGGGCTGACCAAAGAAAAGGGTTTTCTTTGCCAGCTAAGAAGGGAAAGGATGTGGTTCCTTACCTTGTCCCTCATCATTTTCTGCAGTGCGCTCCTGAACGGGCAGGCTGCACTCAGGGTGCTTCACAGTGCAAGCAGGATTTCCTTCAGGTTCTCTCTCTTTTGTTCCAAAGAGCAGCTGAACGGGGCTCCCAGACACTTGGTTAGTTCAGGGACACCAGAGCCCAGGCGGATCATTCACAAGTCAGGGTGAAGTACGGAGCCAAGGAGCAGGCAGCGCTGCCAGCAGCCTGGAGAAACAAGACATTCAGTACTTTAATCTCAGTGCAACTCTGCCACTTGCAGATTATATAATCCCACTCTCAGGAGAGGGTGACTTGAGCAGCCTGTCACACTCCATACACACATTTCCCATGTATGTTAATTGAGGTAGAAAGCTGTTGGGCAAATGAGCTCGTTGCACCAAAACGTTATTCCTTTTAGCAGGTCTGCTCCTTTCCTGGATCTCCAGTTCCCAAGCCTTGCTCTTTCAGACTGCACATTTCAGTTCCAGGCAAACGAGTGTGTTCACTGAGCTGATCAATTTTGGTTTAGCACGTTGACTTTTGCTTATATTTTAAGGCATGTTGTGCCTCAGAAGGAAATTCTTTTAAGCAGGTTTACTTCCACAACCAGATTCCAATGGAAGGATTTGAAGCTGTATGTGGAGAAGGACTAACAAAAGAAGTATTTTTTTAACAGATATTAGCATCACTAAATCCTGCAGCACACTGCCTGATGCACCTCACTCTAATACTATCCACGCAGTAAGTTTTATCACTTACTTCAGGCAGAAAGCACCATTGTAAGCACTGACCATATTTAATGTTACTATTTCTTATGTAATAAAATTCCCTTAGCTGCGTGTTAGTCTTAAATAAAATCTGGGGTTTTGAGCATAGATTTCTGATTCCATGAAAAGAGGAGAATATATTAAATATAGGGAGGGAACGCTGGTGTCATAGTGCTTCTAAATTCACATATTTTACTTTCTTTAGACAAGTGAAGGAGGCTGAGATGAAGGAGAAGCCTACACAAATCACAATACCTGCAGTCTTCTGACAATCATTTGAGTCTGCATCTTTCTTTTGTAAAGGTAGGAGCATCAACGGTGGAAATAGGGAGTAGATTAGAGATGGACTGGCTCTAAGGAGGCCATCGGCCTCTCTTCCTTCAGAAAGGTAGAGAATAGGAGAATATCATCTTTCCACATACAAACCTAACCACTAATTACAATTCAAGTCATACATTTCCAAGCCAAGCGCCATTCTGGGGTAGCCGATGGCAGTTTGCAAGGGGAAAAGGAAGCTCCTCTAACAGCCTCTGATTTTTGAAAAGACAAACCTCATCTTCCTGAGCCTGCGTTTGCCCATTCAAAATCATGCCCAAATTTCGAAATAAAGAAAAAAATGTGGCCAAATGCATGTCCCTGGGATTCTTCATGGGGTCTGAGGGGCATGGATGTGCGCTGTGCATCCAGCCATAGGATATTACAGGGCATTCTTACCTGTAACAGACGCCAAAGCGTTCTCCATCCAAATTCACCAAAGTTTTGCTCCATTTGTTGCCCCAGCAAAATTCTCCCAGTTCTGGTTTTGGTAAACTTCTGCATCCAAGTCATTTCCCTTGCTCCTCAGGATCTCAGTCACACTTGTGCAATGCTGTCAACCATACCCAGAAGGCACGGAAGTGCTTGAGGTATTCCTGCAATTAGAATTTACAGGGGAAATAATCTCCTGATGATGCATAAAATCTCCAGTATAATTCAGTCTCTCAGAGAACAGCCAGGAAGATCATTCTGACACCAGTAACCACTCCAGTAATGTCAGCAGCCCTGACGCTCAAGGAGGAGATGAGCGACGTGAAGCCAAGTCAAATTCAGGTAATTACTTTTCAGAGCAGAAACACATTTCCAAAAGCATATGCAAGCAGTTTTCATTGCTCCTTTTGACCATTCCCATGTATTATCAATGTCTGTTTGCACTTCATGTCAAAGTCAGGATAAGCTGAATATAAAGAACCAACCCAAAGCAATCCCCTTTCACAAGCAACCTGCAGGAAAATGTTTCCTTAAAGCGCCTCTAAACGAACCACATTGAGAAAATAAAGAACATGATGGCCTGCAAAAGCTGTGTGCTTGCTAGCCATATACTGCTTAAGCACAGTGTTCATAAAAGGGAAGCATAAAATACCCCAAATGGCTGTTGGGAGTGCTGGAGCCAAGTTAGAGGGAATAAAAATGGCCTAAACTTGCAGGTGAGGAAAACAGAGCCTTAGGAAGGTGTATGAGCTTAGAAATGCAGGAAGGCCTCTTAGGAGGAGAGTTCTGTGGAGATGACCTCTGTGATATTGCCAAAGCAGGAAATGAACTAGGACTGTCAAGTGAGTTGCTCTGTAGATGATCTTATCTTAGCCAGAAGTCTTCCTTTTACACAAAATTCGACAGAGGAGATGGCTAATCCCACTGACAGACCATGAGGAAGACTGGGAGCTTGTTATCCATGCTGAGCACTCTCCACCTCGGGCTACAGAACTTCATCTAAGTTCATCTCACAACTCTAAGTACGGTCTTTGCATCAAAATCACCGATCACTTATGCTCCCCTGGCATCTTGCAGTATAACCTTAAGGAACCTGGTCAAACTTCACAGTTGGTCCAGCTTTGAGAGGGAGTCAAACCCAATGCATCTCTAAGTGCCTTAGAAGTGGAATGAACCTGTATTTCCATGATTCCAAGGTGGCTGAACAGAGATATTCCAGGAGAAGGGCTGGAGCAATCTGTGATGCTAGGATGTTCCTTGCTCAAGGGGCAGTTTCCTCATGACCCAAGCTAGTTACCAACTCATATCCAAAGGACATTTGCTCAGTCTGCTTGCCAGAGCTCACAAGACCAAGAAGGTATCTGGAAAAGCTAAAAGGACCTGAACAAGAGATAATGCATATCCAGAAGAGAAAACCACAGTGCTAAAATGTGGAAGCCTACTGAATATGCATTCCTGGTGAGATACACATTCTTCTCTATAGGAATAGTATGTTGCAAAATCTTCAGTAGCCTTCAGAGGTTGCTCCCAGAGCAGCATGTGAACCTGAGGATCATTAAAAGTCTCTGCTGGCAATGGGGCATCTCCTGTTGAGGCACAATATCTCTAATTTGGTCTGTGACAGTAAGAGAGGCAGCAGGAAGTGAAACCCATGCTGCTGGGTGTTAGAAATACCCAGGTCCTGCAATCCTCAACTATTCTTGACTTGTACCATCTTTTGGTTGGGACTGGATGAGCTTTAAGGGAAGCTCATCCAACTGCAGTGATCCTGAAAGACTGTTCTGAGAGGGCAGGTTCCATGCTCTTGCCATGCCTATTCATATGCCCTAAGCCCTTAGCTCAGTTTCTACAGTAGGAGAAAAAATGGGCCATGTGATTAGTTCAGGCTTCCTTTTTATTAAATCAGATCCTCATGTGACTCCTTGACAGAAGTGAATGATAGGATCAAGAGGTAACACTCCCTACACCTCAATTTGGAATGCCTTATTCTTGGGAAAACTCCTTCCATTACAAAGAGCCTGCCAGATGAGCTGTGTTTAGTTTCCAGCTGACACGACAATTCTCTGTACGCTGTTGAGTAAGCCACTCGATCGAGTAAGCCACTTGATCTCCAGCTGCCTCAGTTGCCCATTCCTTCTCAGTGATGCTCTCACTTTGGGCAGCCACAGCACCCACTTGACTTCACCTCAAGGCACTATCATAACAGAAAATAAATATTAATTACAATTACGAGTGCTTGGACGTGCAGGGCAAACTGCGGCCTGCCTCTGGCTGTCAGGAATATGAACTTTGAAACTACAGTTGTGTAAAACTCAAAACCACCACACACATTTATCAAAGACACCATCAGGCAGCAGCGACTCCATCGATTTTCCAGACTCACTGAACCATAGAATGGTGAGGGCTGGAAAGGACCTTAAGATCATAACTACTGTCGCAGCCTTGCAAGGTGATTCCTGGTCATGCACTTTGTTTTGTATGTTATAAACCTGGCAAACACCATGGTATGAGAACTCTTGTCAACGTGTCAGTTTATGTCAAACAAACCCCTCTGAACTCATGCCAAATATAAAGTCAAATGTTTTAATGGAGATATTAATAATCTGTGAATACAAGTGAAAGCTAATGACATTTGTCTTTTATTGGTGCTAGTAATCAGTACTCTCTGTATGCAGATGGCAAAACCCTGGTAAGCATTTGCTGGATTATTAGTGACTCTAGATCGGATATGGGCATCTTACTCAAAGGAGTACACAGAACTGTGGATACTCTGCCCTCTCCTCCCTATGAACATTTGTCAATTCACTCACTGTTTGGTGTATACACATGCCCAGGCTAATGTTAGCTGAGGCTGCAATATAGCTACGTTAAATAATTTTATCTGATTTGTTGGATGATGGTATTTCTAATGGAAAACAACATGGTAATTTCAGAATGTTACTGATTAGATGAAAATGATATTGCATCAAAGTTACTTCCTTAATTTATTCTGAAAAAAACAAGAAGGATTTCTCTATTAAGATGCTTAATTAAAATCTATCTCTCGCCATACAAAATCTATACTTCAGGTCCTGCATGTCATGTCTGAAAAGAACAAAGGCTGATTAGCATCTTTTACACTCTGCTTTGCTTTTTGTCACTTACACATTCATTACAGCAACCGCAGCCAGGTTGCGAAGGTCTGAGAGAAAGGGTGCTAGTACACGGACTGCCTGAGCACAGGCAGAACGAGAGAATGCAGCCGAGCTTTTTAGGTTTATAAAGAAAAGGGGGGGAGTGGATGGAGCCCAGATGGGATTGGGGTGAGGTGTGATGGGGAACAGTTTGCAGTTGGAGGGGATCTGTGGGAAACGCATCCCATAAATAAGGTCAGAGGCACTGATGCTCAAATCAAACTGCTCCGTCACTCTCCCACTTTCAGAGCTCCCTCCCAGACGTAGAAATAAAGTAGGGAAAAAGGCAACGTGAGCACCAGCAATACGGCACATACACACAGCACGTAAGTTTGCTTGCACAAACTCTCACCAACAGGCTCCTATGAATCACAGGTGAAGAAAAACTAAATTCCACCTCTTTCTCAGTGAAGCAGTGAATTACGCGTTGCTGAATTGTAAAAACCCAGATTTCCCAGCCCTTAGAGCCTCCTTCCTTAACATATTACCTGCAGGAAAGCCTGAGAGCTCGGAATCCACATTGCTACACAGTAATGTAAATGTAATTTCATTTTTGTGTCTTAAAAAAGCAAAGTGCAAATAAAAAAGGAGATGTCTCCACACTGCAACAAAGGCAACACCAAGTTTATCTGACCGTACAGTCCCTTATAGAGAATAATTTCTTTTAGCCACATGCCACCTAATTTTGCTGCACTACATGTTTTACACATACACAGCTGAAGATCAGAACGTCTATTGTCTGATAACTCATTGCTCAATTAATTGGTTTGTGTTTAGCGAAGTGGCTATTTCTCCGTGGGGACTAACCACACACCGGCCATGAACTTTAAAGTAAACCCAATTATTAGCTAACAGTAAAGCAACAATCTGTAAGGCACCTTAAAGAATGCAAATCTTCATTGTAAGCTGCTGAATAGGAATGCACAAATAGAAAGATGTCAGCAGGTGAAGTTTCCTTGCGCAGAGAAGTAAAATATGCACAAACGCAGCTTTCCCTCCACCTTCACAGCAGTAACAGTCTATTGAAGAGACAGACCTCAGGTTTTTTTTTCCTCTCATCACTAAGAATGATACCCCGCTGGGTGTAATCAAGATCCATGAACTCAGGGCTTCAGGAGTGTGAATGCTGACATCCCAGGACTGGCCTTGTTTAGCTCTAAGAGTTTCAAATCTATGCTTGGCATCCCACACTGAGGCCTTGCACGTCAGCCTGGGCTATTGATTCTCACTTCTAGCTTCATTTTTAGTTTTATTACCCTCACATCACTATACAGTAGTGAAGCATTCAGCTAAATTTAGGCCATTTATATCACATTTCAGTAAATACGGAGTGGATGACTTAAAGCTGTAAAGCCAAGGTGTTGCACTGACAAGCAGTAAGAAGAGTGCTCTCACACCTCACAGCTTTCATCTCCCTCTAACCTGGTCTCACAGGCACCGTCAGAAACTCAGCCTGTCTGACAGAACTCCTCAGCATCTGTAAAACTTTCCTTTATTATAAGCAATCAAGCTGTAATTTTCATGTTATTTGACAATATTTTACCTGCATTCTCTCAGAATTCAAGTTCCCTTCTTTATTTGCCACATGCACATCACTCTGACAATCCCTCTTCTATATATTGATGTTCTTTTACATATTTGCTGTTCATATGTTACGTACATCAAAATGCCATCGAATGCCAGGGCAGGAGCAACAAGATAGCTATATGTACTTATTCTGTGTGATTAATACTGAATGCAGCCTTGCTCATAATATTCTTGTGTATGATTTTACCTGTAAGTTATTACAAATGGTCTGAATATTTTCATTTCAAATTACCCTGAAGATGTCATAGTGTTTGCTTATTTCTAATATAAGTTTTTCTATCTGTCATCATTTGTCAGCGGTGTCTAGGGCAGAAAACATCCATCTGTACAAAGAGAATCCCCCTTGAAACAGTAAATGCTTTTAAAGCTGGGATGCCGTATTCAGGATTCTAACCTGAAGACCA